GAAAAGAGTTGACATAACGGACGGGCGTGCCTAGGCTGTACGTTTGTATGAAGTGGGGCGGGGGGGGGGGCACGAGGCCCTCCCCTCCTTCCAGGGCACCCCTGAGGAAATATGTTATACAACGTACAGATCAAGAATTAAAAATGCTTTATACTGATAAATAGATGTTTTCTGAGTACAATAATGAAAAACGTGATATTTACGCTCGATGGCACACATTCGTAAGATAAAATGATGTAGAAAGTTCATTTTCTTTTCTCAGTTATTTCAATCTATGGAATCTGCCGAGCTAACAGCGGAAAAAACAGCTCTAGATATGATCCTTTGGGAATTTATTTACTTGTTATCTATTTATATGAAGAATATAAACTATTTTTTTGTTCTGAATATTACAGAATTGAGATCGATTTTCGAGAAAAAAAACAAGTTTATCAGTACATTCGATAAGTTTTCTTTTCCGTTACAAATTCATTCAATCTACGACGAAACCACTCGAGATGCCAAAAAATTTTTCAATCTTTTATATAATGATTAGACAGAGTATATTAAGAAGTGATATGTTCCAAAGTGGTTCATGCGCAAGTTAAGATTGTACTGAGACATCGACTTTTTTTACAAATATTACTGTATACAGAAAACACGATGTTCTGGGAATGTTTGGATCAGACATTCTGGGACTTTGTAAATATGAGCAAATTTTAAAATTATATTGGGGAAGAATTACGAATCCAGTTCATTCTTTAAAGTGATAATTTGACATTTAACTCATTTGTAAATAATATAATGATATTCTTTTTTTTATCATTACGAAAGATTAATTAGATGATAACAAGTTGAAGAAATGTTCCTAAATAGAAAATGTTTATAAAAGTATTATTAACATCATTAAATAAAATCTATTTTTAATGATATTTATTTTCAAGTGGTTTCTTATTATAAAGATCTGAAAAAATCTTATGTTCGTTTCGGAATCTAATATAAAGGTAAAAAGCATTTCTTAATGTTCTTTATATAGTTTCTCAAATTAGTTCTTAAATATTTCATTGGAATAAACAAGTTGACAAAAGAAAAACTAAAAGATTGACGTCATTCGTATTTCGAAATGACATTCCTTTAATGAATAGATGTATTTAAGCATGATTAATTTCTTCTGAAATTTCTAAGTGGGAGAGGAAAATCGCATAATTTATCTTTTTTCTTAATAATTATAACAAAAAACACTACAACATCTTTGGTATTCAGCTTCTAAAGTTATTCTTCTTTTTTGGAAATTTTCAAATGAATTTCAATCTCTCTAAAATTCTCTTTTTAACAAAAACAACCGGAGTTAGAAGTTTACCTCCAATTCTTTCTAATCAATCAAAATATTTCATTTTATTGATCTTAGTAATTCCATCAATTCTTGCCTATCTTACAGCAATTGGTTTTATATTTCTCACTAAAACTTATCGTACAATGCCAAATAATTATAGTATAATAATAATATTATTTATCTCATTTATAACAACATCAATTGATCTCCCGATTCGAATAGATTCATATTCTAATCATCCAATTCTTAAACGAACAAAAGAATCTTGTTTATTTTGGTGGTACATTGCAACTTCTTGTTATTTAGCTATGTCTCTTTTAGTTGCATGGTCTTCACTTGAACGACATCTTTTAATATTTCATTCAAATATATTTAACAAAAAATTTAAGAAAATTTTCTTTTATTATATTCCACCGATATTAATTATTCTTTATATTTTCACATTTTATTTCTTTACAATAATTATTTATCCCTGTGAAAATATCTTTAATGAACAAACTAATGTTTGTCCATTTCCATGTTATTTCTTTGATATAACACTTGGTATGTGGGAATTGGGAGGTCATTCATTATTTCCTACAATATGTATTTTGTTGTTAAATTGCGCACTTGTATTTCGAGTTTATCGATCGAAGAGACGTTTAAAACAATCAACAAACTGGAGAAAATATCGGACAATGATATTTCAATTGATTTTAATTGCAATTATTTATCTTTGGGTTAATATTCCGTATTCCATTTGTGTTCTATTGCTTTATTTTACTTCGATATATGGTATAGATTCAATTATGTACTTCTTCGCAACGTGCATTTATTTAACGCCTTTATTATTTCCATTTGTTTGTTTATATTCATTACCAGAATTTCGATCAAAGATGAAAAAGATTCTCAAATGTCAAAGTAATATTCGAATTGCAAATCAAGCTTAATTGATTTATTGAATAAAAATTGAAAAAGCAAAAATCATTTGATTTTCTTTCGTTACTCAATATCGCGATCTTTAAAACGAAAACAAATACGTAGAAGAGAGTCGTTTTAGAAAAACTATTAGGTTGGCACATAAGTTCTGTATGTTTTCTTTCCGCTCATGCAATAAGCAACTTTATTTTTCAAAAACATGCTCCATCAATCATCAATATAGTCACCGTTTTACTCGGTAACTTCTACCCATCTGACCAGTAACACCTCAATCCCACAGCTATAGAAGCTAGTGCATTTTGATTCGAAAAACACAGTGAGATCCGAGTCGAACTCATCGTAATGTTCATAATGCTTGTCGGTTAGATGACTTCGACAAGATTGAAATGAATGATAATCTGATGGAACAAGATTTGGGGGCCAGGGTGGATACGGAGGGACTTCCCATCCAAGTCGTCCAATTCTTTGTTTAGTTAAGTTTCCCACATATGGCTGAGCATTGTTATTAAGTGGGATGACGTCTCTTCGATTTGCCAGATCCGGTCGCTTTTCGTATAAAACGTCTTGCAATCAACGTAGCTATTGAGAATAGACTTCGGCGGTAATCGTCCAATTGGTGTGCATGAGCTCAAAACAAATGGCACCCTTCATATCCCGCCAAATACATAATACTATTTGTCATCGCTAGTAGCAATTCGCTCCAGAAATACTTCATGCTTCTGTCGAGAGGGTAATGTAATGATGTACCAATCAAGACACATTGTGCCAGATAATCTACCGACAATGCACGTGGGGCCGAGCTGCCGTGTTCATGGATCATACCCAGAGCATGAAGGTGGGACTCGACTGTCGTATGAGGACATTCGAGTTGTTTGGCGTGGATTCTCATGCAGCAGCGACTGCAGCGCTTCCTCGTCAAATTCTACGAGCCGTCCAGATTGATGTTTATCTACTAAACTGCCATCTTCGGATCAAAACTGGGAAAACCAAGTTACAACAAGTAGAACTGTCAACGGTTTTCCCACCATACGTAGCATTAATATTCCGTCCTGCGTCAGCTGCTGTTGAACCTCGATTGAATTCATACAGTATACAGTGACGAACATGTGTTTTGTGTTCGTCCATTTAGCCCGGCAACGATAACGTTATATAAGGTCAATATCGGTGTGTTTTTGAACTCGACAGAACAGAAACAGATATTCCGCAGAGAAACCTAAGAAAATGGAAGGACAAGCGAATTACACGTATGGCTCCAACAGAAGACAAATAGTCATACTCATGTGTGCGTCCGCTAAGAAAAGGTCTAGTTTTATCGAACTGGAAGTGATTAAAAAGTGTTCTTCTTTAAGTAGCATCTCTCTCTCTCTCTCTCGATTCATTCTTCACCATGAGAAAAAAAATTCAAAAATATTTCCGGAGCAACATCGAAAACATGCGGAACTTATGTGCCAGTCGAATATCATGAAACATGTTTGTACAGATAAGTTAGCAAAGAGGACTTCTTTTGCAGAATAAGAATCGAATAATCAAACTTAATGTAAAGATTCAGCGTAAAATCTTATAAATAAAATAATCCGAAACTATTGACATCTTATCATACAAAATCTTGCCATCAATAATTCATCCTAATGTTCTTTCTTTGTTAATCTGATGAAAAAGCAACAGTTATAATTCAAACTAATATGGAATACGCAATTCGAACCGAAAAACTTTCTCTCTTCATTCAGTTCACTCAGAATCCACCCGATTCAATTTTGACACCAAACTGGCAAAAAATCGAGAAAATCACACCTCTATATCATGTTTTATTTACACTAAGATAGTGGCAACTGATTTTGCGCATAGTATGTATAAGAGTTAAAATTGCGAAGATGTGTAATGTGACCAAAATCTTCGTATTACCTTGAAATCCATTTTCAAGTTTAATTGCCAAGGAAATTTTACGTCGTTGAACAGAAAAAAGTGTAAATATTAGGATAAACTTTTAGTATGATAAACCAATGAAAGTCTACTTTCACCAGGACCGATACGGGAGTTCATCCTATCTGATCTTGTCTTGTCTCGTCCTTTGGACGTCGGATGAAATGTCGATCAGGCTCCAATGTTGTATGACTATGATTATTCCTTAGAATAGCAAAAGTTTTCCACATTTTTCATCGTTTACTTCGAATTCGAGTTCAACTTAACCTCGTATCATGAAAAAACTGTGTAGTCATTTGTCCACACTTGATTATTTCAATCAATCAACTGTTCGTATTGTTAAATACTTAGGAAAATCACCATCATGTTGTTTATATAATCAATTGAAAGAAACTTTGAAAAGTGGTGATGGTGCATCGATTATCTCTTTACGAGAACAGAATATACAATATGCCTGTACAATTTCAACGAACATGATCGAGAAAGATTGAAATTTCGACTAGAACGTATAAAAACCACAAATATCAATGGTCGTCAAGCTTGACATGCTAATAAAATGTGTACAGTTGAAGTGAAAGCTTGTCAGCTTAATGATGTAGCTCCAATAGCAATCGAACAAAACTAATCCAAAATGTGTTCATAAAATGAAGAAAATAGCTCTTGTCGGCGATTCAACTGGTGCTTTGGAATTGACTCTATGGGAAGATCAATTCGATCAAAGTGCGTTAGGAAATTCGTACCATATTCGTTTGCTGAAAATGCCTACTTTTAACGACCAAATTTCATTGAACATGATATCGAACACGCCGCACGTATTTTATCATAGTACTTGAAATTAACTCAACAATTTTCTATCCTTTCGAGGTTTATAAAAATCAATAGCAATGTGAACTCATGCAAAACAGGCGAAGATCAAATTGTCTTCGTCGAACCAGTTGACAATCAGCACAACTGTCAAGGTTGTGGCGGAATAAATCTTACCGAAAACCAAACAACAATATCGTGCAATGATTGTCGATCTAGATTACTAAAAACAGAACAGTGGCGAAGATGTTCACAAGAGAATCAAAATCGTCACATATACCAATGAAGAATACAATCTGAAACCGAGTAGATCAGTGATACTGGCATTCTTAAGTGATAGCAGTCTCTTAAACGTCAATGACAAAGAATCGATCAATCTCGAAGAAAATTTACATATTATCATACGATTGAATACCGGATTGATTACGATTACCATACTGGCTTTATCAACAAATTGCAAATGTTAAATCAAATTGAACCATAAGAACAAATTATTAGTTTTCTTGTTTTTTTATCTAACCATTTTCATTTATGTATATATTTGTTTAGATCAATTATCTACATGACAAATCGGTTGATTCTGATCATATAATTTGCACGCAAGCACTGAATGCTCAGCTCATTTTTTAAAATTTTAGTGTACGCATATTCACTAAAAAGAATTCTCTTTTATTCTAATAAACTCGCTGATCATGTTCATACATCGTTTCGAATCAATATTAGTGTAACTCGGAATAACAAAACAATCGGCTATAACTTTCTACACGAATAAGTCGCGTCGAAAAAAAAAACTATCCTATTTAGGAACTGTGATCTTTGGGTGCAGAGTCATATGCTACATGCAGTATTACGTCGATTATTCAAAATAATCCACAAAGCTTCTAGTTAAAACAACATATTTTACGCTTGAAAAACTGAGAAAAAGTATAAGAAACGTGAGTTTCACATTTTAGCCCCAAAGGGAGCGCTGGCTAGCTTTTTCTATCATTTTTTCTATGTGTAAAAAATGCAGTACATGTGCCGAAAAAACGTTACAAATCTCGGGGTTTTTAGCAGTTAGGACCTAATTCTTTTTTATCAAAAGTGTTTTCTAGAGCACACCGCCTTTCTCAAGCGAAAAAATTCGAACAAAAAAACTTACCAAAAAATGGATGGATCCTCATGGATTCACCTAAAGCCATCTGATGACACGCCTTGTATTCTCCCTCACCCTCGCCCGTATTCAACAGATACAGAAATATTCAACACAAATTAGTTGAAATATTGCAGATCGAGCAGTTATGAAAATGAACATATCGAAACTAGCCGTTACAATATGGGACTGACTGTAGCGGTACTTCCCCTTTCAACCACTGTATTAGATAGAGCTTTGATCTGACTAACTGACAAAATCTAGTTCTTATAGTTTCATACGAAATGATCAATCCATAAGTGGTGGGATTGTTTAGGTAATAAAGCACATTATTTTAGTTCGTATTCTTTATTTGAAATAATCGTAAGATAGAACATGGAAAGTTTCTTGTTTAACAGTTAAATTGTTCCGGCTTTATTCTTCCGGATTGCATTGCTTTGTTGAGAAAATCTTTAATTGCCCATTCCATCGCTCCATTTCGACTTTTCTTGGTATCCTGACCAACAATTTCCGATGCGATAGAAGGACATTGAAAGCGACCATCCCACTTCCATTGCCATTTAGATATTCGTCCTTTCAAATTCCCATGACATTGTATACCACAAATATTCACTGGCGTATCCTCACTCCAATGATGCAATTTCCAAAGACTAAAAGCTAATTGGCCAGCACATGTCCATTAATTCTGCGTAGCAATGGCATTGGCACAAGTTGCCGTTGGAAAATCAATTTGATGTGCAAAAATAGAATTCTTCAATTGAAGAATGAAAACAAATAAACCAATGAGAAAGAATCGTGACAATTTCATTGAGACGGAGGAGCAGATGGTCGACCTGGATAAGTGTTGATGATTTAATTTCTAAAAGGAGTGGACACTGTTTATATACTATGGAGAACACAAGAAAAAGGGGAAGTGATTACTTCCATGTTACTATCAAACTGTTCGACAACAACATAGAACGAATGCGTATATTGACCTTTCATCATGAGGAAAAAATCCATCAGATGTAACCTTTCTCTGGATGAAATTCAAGCTTATTGTTTTTTTCCAAGATGAGATAATGAGCAGAGGAACAGTAATCTGACACGTACCTATTCCATATCTACGGGGAAGTAGTAGAAACAAAACGCCGGAGATTAAACAGCTCGATTATATAGAGAGTAAAAACCATGTCCCTAAAGTAAGTTTGAGAATGGAGAACGGTGTATGTATGTTTGTCGCTCGTGTTTTGATTGGAAATACAACCCAAGGAGACCGTTCATTGAAAAGTACACCGACTGAATTCGATTCGACGACTGCTGAGAAACACATTTTCGTCACGTACCATGATACACAAGTCTGTGCAGAGTATCTAATTACTAATAAATAAAATCGATCCTCATTGAATAGTTTTTTAGTGTGTAATAAACTCGAGTTTAGTTTACAATGTTTGTGTTTTTTCAGCTTCTTCACACGTGGGATATATTTCACCTCGTTCTCTTTCTTAAGGCATGCTCTTTCTATGCGTTATGTTTCTTGATCCTCTGATCTTCTACAAACCTATATAAATTCGTTGTTTGTAACTAATAATAAAACAATCTTGTGTGCATGTACGCTGTCGATATAAATCTCTCTTCCTCACACTATCTTGGCATGTCGATGTTCAATAGCCACGCTTGTTTGTAAGTACGTGTCCATGTAAACTTCCGACATCGGACATTATATAGGAGACAGCTGTGACGATAAGGAGAACAGAAGAAAATCTTTCTATTCTGTGTCAAGACAGATATATACAGAAGAAAAATTTTAAAAACTAATGATTATTAATAAAAAATTACATGAAGAAGGAGGTGTCTTCTATTATTTCTTGCAATACTCTCATGACTTCTGTGCAATCATTTTTTCTCTTCAACCGATCTGCATCAGTGATTGAACCCTATTATGTGGATATAAACATCATCCATTTGAGAACGTCTAAAAACCGAGTTATCAACATCAAATTACAAAAATAAATTCCTTCTTTTTCAACTGTTTCGTTTGATTGTCTCTGGAAGAAAACAAAATACGAGATGAGCAGTATGAAATTAATGCCGCGTTTGTTGGTTCTCTGTGTATTTTTGGCAGTAAGTTGCAAGACTGCATCCATGAAAGACGATATCGCCTATCGAGCGCGTCTTTTCACAAGCCAGCATCATATTTTCAAGTGAGAGAATAAAATTGAGTGAAGTGTTGTTTCACGATCTGGTTTAGGTTCGTGTTAATC